GATTTTTATAATCACTTGACTCCAGGAGCTGGGGTTTTAAGAAAAACACCAAGTATCGTGAGACTCATGTTAAAATCATGAGAGCTGGCACCACTCTGGACACAAAGGCCCACTTGTGAGAATCCCAGTGCCTAGATCCCTGCCTGAATGTTTAATTTTTTTCTAATAGAAACCCAGAGGGGAAAGATGCATCAAGGGCACTTTCTCTTTTACTTAGTATGAGAACAGATATGTTCTTTGAAGACATTATTCACTTAAAACCAATGCAGAAATGGCACATCTTCAGGGTATTGTTCGAGACCAGGTTTTGTAGAAACCATTTCAATTTTCTAGCAATGTTTTGTTTCTCTGCTTTTATTTGTTCCTGTTTGGACCACTCTGTGCAATCCTTAACCAGCCACCAACCACTACCTAGATTTTTTTTCTTTTTTAAGTTAATTCTCCCCTCTCCCTGCAATGATGCCACCCCCACAGAAGACTTGAGGGGGCTGCACTCTCCCAGACACACAGGATTTGCTCCTCAGATTCACCCGACCATTACCAGATTTGTCCCCCTTTGGGCTCTCCCTGCAAGCCTGCCCTTGCTATCACCAGCTTAGACAGATTCCTTGTTTGAAAGCAGAGGGCAGATCAGCAATCAGATACATTTATGGCTTTATTTTACCAAACTGAGAACAACCCCACAGATTGAGAGTAAATTATATCTGCTGATGTAAAAAAAAAACAAAAAAAACCGAGAAACTATGCTCAGCCGGTACTATACACTCAGGCTTTATGTAGTTCAAATAATCACACGCCTCACAGCTGCTCAGCCTTAAGTGTGGAACCCATTTCTTTTATTTAGCTTTTCCATAATGAGGTATTCTCACACACAAACACATATAAACTAATCAAGATACTTCTACAGATTGGGAAGGGAGACATTGTTTTCTCTCTATTTAAATAAATGAGTGATGCTCTGATATTATGGTGATAGGGACCATTATCAGTGCCTAGACCATAGAATATCAGAGTTGGAAGGGACCTTAGCAAGTCATCTAATCTAACCCCCTGCTTAAAGCGGAACCAATCCCCAGACCCCTAAATGGCCCCCTCAAGGATTGAGCTCACAAGGCTGGGTTTAGTAGGCCAATGCTCAAACCACTAAGCTATCTCTCCAATATTAGGCATTTAATGAATGCAAAGCTCTATTAGAAAGTATTTGTACTTAATTGATTCAAGCTTCCAGGGCAACATACATCTTTTAGTGGGTTAGAAATTCTGTGCATCAACATGTTGAGCATTCACCTGCTAAACCCAGGGTTATGAGTTCAATCTTTGAGGGGGCCATTTAGGGATCTGGGGCAAAATCAGTACTTGGTCCTGCTAGTGAAGGCGGGGGACTGGACTCAATGACCTTTCAGGGTCCCTTCCAGTTCCATGAGATAGGTATATCTCCATATATCTTTTTTTATTATTATAGTAAAGTGCTGTATTTCTCATCATGGAAAATATAATGATTTAACACTTGTATCAAACTGAGTGCATCCATGACATGATCACTAGGTTCAAGAGTAGGGATTTTAAATTCTATTGCAATCCTTTGAAAAGTCAAATTACAAATACAGTCTTCAGACAAAATATTTTTGTTGCTCCAGCTTTTAGTATGATACAGATGAGTCTGGCATTTATTAAAAAAATAAATCTACTTCATGCCTCATCAAAAGTCTCTGCAAGCAATCTAGTTTCTTAAGATTGAAGGAAAGGGAGTTTATGGGGACTTTGTCAGGTGTTTACATGTGATCAGCAGAAAAATCTAAGCGGAAACACAGCTGAATATAAATATGGTATTGTATTAGATGATCTAATTCTCTCTTTAGGAAAGTGACAGAAAGCTCATCATTTGAACCATTTAGAACTCCAGAAGTAGATATTGAGACAGTCACAAGATATGATCCAAATACAATCCTAAATTAAAGCATTACATAATTATTTCCATGAAGATGTCCATTTATTGTTAAGTATTTGTGATTAAAAATGTATGATGTGCAATGTTAATAAATGGATCATTACAAAGAATGTAATTTAATAATGCTCGCATATAAAAAGCCAACAAATATTTGATAAGCCTATCAGTTAAATCCAAGAGTAGACTTGGCATGTCTGACTTGCATACAATTAACACTTAGGGCCAAATCCTCCAAAGATACATGAGTAACTTTACTCATGAGACGTCAGTGGGACTGCTTCCATAGCATGAAGTTACACAAGCCTTTATATGCATACAGGATTTTGTATCTGTACATAAGAACATAAGAATGGCCGTACTGGGTTAGACCAAAGGTCCATCCAGCCCAGTATCCTGTCTACCGACAGTGGCCAATGCCAGGTGCCCCAGAGGGAGTGAACCTAACAGGTAATGATCAAGTGATCTCTCTCCTGCCATCCATCTCCACCCTCTGACAAACAGAGGCTAGGGACACCATTCCTTACCCATCCTGGCTAATAGCCATTAACAGACTTAAGCACCAAAGGTTTTATTACATAAGTTTAATACAAGTACCACTGAAATATGAATTCTCTATGGAGATAAACGTTAGACACGATACATAGTTGCCTTATTTGCTACCAAATTCTTGCCTGGACAGCATGCCCTCTCAAGTGATTATTGGTAGATAATATGGACAACCCTGTATAACTCCTGGCAGTTTTAAATGCTTTTCTTTCTTAAGTGGGCATCACTGTGTTTAAGATTTTATCAGCAGAAAAGTTACTTTAAGTAGCACATGAGAGGATTTTATTTTTTTCCCTGTTCATGGACTCTTAGCTGGGGTAGGCTGCCTGAAAGCACATATCATTACACAGAGCCAAATACTGCAACTCTTATTCAAGCAGTACTCCCACCAAAGTCCATGAGAGTTTTGCCTCTAAAGACTCATTTGATCCTTAATGCATTGAAATAAGATAATAAAAGGAGCAATATATAATGAGCGCGCTCTGGTAACGTGTCACTGGTTGACAATATACAGCAGTATAAGGGAAAGCACATGTATTTTAAAATAAAACCAACTGAATTTTTAAAATGCCCTCTTGGAAGCATGAAAAATATGGGTGAAACCCTGTCTCTGTTGAAGTCAATAGCATAACTCCCAGTGACTTCAATAGCGTTAGGATTCCACTCACTCTTCTTTTATTAATTGTCCTTTTACAGTTGTCACACATCCAATTCATCTGAAGTTAACTTGTCTGCTTTTATTTATTTCCTTATTTATAATCAAATGGGTCAAATATGTGAGCACAGGCATTTTACCACCACCGTTCTTAGTGATTAAATGCATATGTTTATGTAAACCACACAATGGAGTGATATGAAATGTTTATCAACATGAGTTTGGGGTGGCTGCATTATTCACGAATGCTAGCATCACAAATGAGTTTTGCAAGTCATTCCAAACAAGTGTCAAACCTTTATATCACACCATATGACTTCTCATTCTGTATATGCCACGTTGTCCAACTCTTCAGGATTTGGAGGGAGAGAAAAAAAATGACCTTAAAATCATGTCATTGTACTTTCAGGTCCAATATTTCATGATGAATCACAAACCGGTAGAAGTGATGTGTCCCATTGTAAAGAGTTTGTTAGCTCCAATAGTGTAAAGCTTACTACCTGTGATAGGTTCAAAATCCAGTATCTCCAAGCTATGACTTTTCTCCTACTAAGGGTTGCATGTCCTGCAGCCCAAACCAGTGTAATTAATTTTGGAGGAAAAGTTATACCTCACTATATTTGTTTTGTTGGTTTTAAAGTGACAGCTCTTTGGGGAGACAGATTAGTGGGCAGAGTACAGATGAGGGAAGGATGAACTTTGTCACAAGATTCTGCAATTTGTCACATAGATATCACTACCATTCTGTGTGGTGTGCATATATGACTAGGGAGAAGTCATGTGACCATCACATATACACTCTTGGTCAAACAGTGTCAGACCTAAACAACCTAATAGTGCCCCTTTAAAATATATCATGCAAGTGTGCTAGTCTGAAGGTTATGCTAAAATGAGGAGAGAACTCCTGAAACCAATGAATCTTCCAACTAGAAAGTTAGAAGGATAAACAAGGGAATTGTTGGTTTTCCTATACATACAATTTATTAAACATTGTGATAGTCAAGGAATGAAATATAAACATCTGAAAAAGTATTTTTTTCATATTTAAATATTGTACAGAGTACTACTTCAAGAGCAACAGTTTCCTTCAAAGAACTGCTTTTCACACCTTTCTGAACAGTTGTGTAAATCTGAAGTATTAAGTCAACACTTAAAAGTCAGTTTTCTCTTTCAGAGAACTTGCCATTGGCTATGGATTTAAAAACATCTCTTGGAGGATAGATGGACACTGCCAGGTTGCATAGGCCTATAATGTAGGTTGTTTAAAATTAAATTAAATAATTGGTGAGCAGATTAACAAAAACCTAATGGACCAAATTCATACCTGGTATAACCAGGTAAAATTGCATTGACTTCAAGAGAGCTACATCAATATATCAATCACCAAATTCATACCTATTATAAATCAATCTCAACATTTTCATGTGGTTTACAAAAACACGTTATTGGGGGCATTTAAACATTTTTCTGCAGTACTGGGAACCAAAACCCAATAACATTAAATTAGCACACAACTAACCAGAAAGTGAAAATGACTACTCCATTTTTAGTTGTCTAAGATGAATGAAATACAAAATGTCAACCAACAGCATAAATGGTAAGTAAACTAGATTTTTTTAAAAACTTTCTCCCTACTAATAAGCTACTAGTAACAGGAGAAGAAAAAAAAATATATATGATTTTTATTTTGACAGTGCCCCTCTACAACCCCCAGATTTTTCAAGCAATCTAGCATTTAAAGAAGAAATGCAATTATCTGTATGGAATTTAGCTTACTGTGACTGTGGCTAAGTATTTTATATACAATAATGACAATTATTTCTTAAAGTAATAATGTGGAAATGCATGAGACTGGCTTCCTCTAGCCATTTATTCAAGTTATAGTTTTGATATTTAAAAAAACAAACAAACAAACAAAAAACACACCACACAAATACTCAGAGAAGGATTCCTTATTTAGGCATATTTTACAACCACGCTATTTTCTCTCTTCTTTTGGTATATACACTCTTTACTCATCCACTTGGTCTTGAAAATATTCATCTAAAGTAGCAGGTTTATCTTCTTCATTTTCCTGCCACAAAATAAACAAAGTAAATATTAGTTCCATTTTTCTCTATGGCTACATCTATTCTATGACATTTTTATTGCAACAGAAATCACAACATTCCATAAAACAGGTAACAAGGAATGCCAAGAAGCAATCTGGTTTCTACAGTCCTCTTAGATACTATAGATCCAAGGATTAGAGTGTAACAAATCTGAATCCAGGCATTCTGTATATTTAAAGAGTACTGAACAACTGAATTTCAAAATGGAATAAGAGGGGCGGATATTTATTTCTTCAGGATTCATGAATATCTGAATAATAATAAAACTAAGTATGGCTTTGATCTGAATGTAATGCTTGTGTCTCATTAGAGTCTATATTTTAGATACTAATTCTATAGCTTGAACAAAAGGTATGGGCTTGATGCAGAAATTGTTGGGTGGGATCCTTTGGCCAGTGTCATGGAAGAAGTCAAACTAGAAGATCCCAAGGGTCACTTCTGGCCTTAAAATCTATGATTCCATTAATTTTGAAACCTAGTTTGATGAGTAATGCAGCCCACAGAATGCATTTTTCAAACTTGCAGAACTATGCCAAGAGAACTTTTCCATACCCGTCCATTTTCATTACAGAGGTTAAATGTCACCGTTAATTCATAAACTAAACTCTGCCCTGCTCAGTGCTGAAAATGCCGGCCAGCTCCTCTTCTGCTGCACAAATCCTTCTTGGCAGTGTCAGTGCCCATGTTTCAAAGTAACACCAACACCCTCTTAAACTCAATGAATTACATTTAATTTATTGGGTTTTTTTTTTTTAAACTTTACATTTTAAAAGACAAAAGTGCTTTACCTTTGGTTCTTTAAATTCTAGATCTTCCCCATACTGAATGGCAAAGTCTATGTGCTGCAGCACAATATTTATGCTTTCTTCATCAGAGTGATCATAAGGTAAAAATCGAACCATGCTGTAGTCATCAATCTGGAGGAAGGTTTTCAAAAGTATGGCTCTTAGAGGATGTGATAAATAAATAATAAAGAACACTCAATACTTCAAACACCAAGCATTAATCCACACCAACTCTAACAAGACAGGGACGCTAACAGATCAGTTGCTTTACCGATGAGGAAAGCAAGATAAAAGGCCACATAGCAAACCAGTGACAGAGTCAAGATTAGAATTCCAGAGCTCCTGGCTGCCTGTCCTCTGTTCAGTTCACTACACTACACCGCTTACACATCAGGATCACTTAGATGTTATCTTGACTATATGCCTAACTTACGAGGTAGTCACTGGATGCTGGACTGAAACTCTAGGCTAAAAAATCCAATTTGTCAGCATTTACATTCACGAGTCTGAGAATTCTCTAGGGTCAGTGGTCCCCAAAGTGGGGTCCCCGGAACTTTGGGGGTTCACCATGCATTATGCGGGGGTCAGTCCCTAGAGCTAAGGCTGGAATGCACTGAAATAGCATTCTGGCACTTTTGCTGCCTGGAGGATGCCATTTTGTTCTCAATATAGCATCCTCTGCACAGTGTAACCTCCCATGCACCTTGTGAGAGAGGTCACGCTTGCAGGAGTGTTCCGGGAGCACTGGAAATGGAAGGGGTTGAGGACATTTAGTGTCGGATGCTAAAGGAGTCCTTGATGGAAAAAAGTTTGGGAACCACTGCTCTAGTTCCCAGCAATACTAGTAAATCAGTTGTATCAAAACATCATTTTTGAGAAAGATATAAATATTCTAGATACTATACAAATAAGCATGTGCAGAAAAATTAACCCTGATACTGTAATATTTGTAAATTATAAAGGATTGAATTTCAAAAAGTATATTAGGATAAAACACCAACACATCACTTACCAATCCACATATAGCTTTAGTCAGTTTCTTGAACACTGTGCTTTTTATTATATTTGCAGAATCTTCGATCACAGAATACATATCCGGATCTAAATACCTGAAAAAAGTATTTGTCAACATTAGAAAAACATCCATCAAGGCTTTGAATAATGCATGGTACCTTCAAATCATTGCCACCATTGCTTGTGGTTTTGTACTTTTAATTAATTAATTTTAGAAGGGAACATATTTGCAAATGCTATTTAAAAAATAGAGTTTTCTTACATGTATAAACATCATGGTTTATAAGATTATGATTTCTAGTACCAAACTCACTAAAGTTTTAATTTTCTACTTATAGTTTAAATTAATATTTAAAACATTTTTGGAGAGATTAGGGGGGAAATGTAGATCTTGGTATTTGCATATAAAGAAAAGGGACTATATTTTCACTAAAAAGAACAAGGAGTACTTGTGGCACCTTAGATACTAACAAATTTATTTGGGCATAAGCTTTCGTGGGCTAAAGCCCACTTCATCTGATGCATGCAGTAGAAAATACAGTAGGAAGATATAGATATATAGATACACACACACACACACACACAACATGAAAAAACAGGTGTTGCCATACCAACTCTAAGGGGAATAGTCAATTAAGGTGGGATATTATTAGCAGGAGAAAAAAAAAGTTTATAGTGATAATCAGGATGGCCCATTTCAAACAGTTGTCAAGAAGGTGTGAGTAACAGTAGGGGGAAAATTAGCATGGAGAAATAGTTTTTACTTTGTGTAATGACCCATCCACTTCCAGTCTTTATTCAAGCCTAATTTAATGATGTCCAGTTTGCAAATTAATTCCAGTTCTGCAGTTTCTTGCTGGAGTCTGTTTTTGGAGTTTTTTTGTTGAAGAATTGCGACTTTTAGGACTATAATTGATATAATGAAGCAGGAGGACCTCTAATTTAGGATTTGAACTATGTAGGCAAAATCCTCTGTAAATGGATTCAGAAGGCTCTTATAGTTCTCCAAGACAATTCTCTACCCATGTGTATACATGCATACATGCAGAAGATCATCTGACAAAGTTAGTTGCAAATTATCAGAGGCTACATGGTAAATGTCTCAACAATGTAACAATTCCATCTGGCTTCCTCTCCCCAGAAGTTGTCCCCAGAGATTCCATTTTCACTTTGGGAGGACATTAGATTGAATTTGTCCTGAATCTTGCCTCAAGGTGTCAAAACACAGAATACATATTTTTCAAAACTTACTTTTCAATTTCCTTTTTAGCTTTCTTGCTCAACAAATCCATTTTGGTCATGATGTTGATCTGTGGAATCTCTAACAAGATCATTGCACTGAGGGCTGCCAAGACACCGGAAATAAACTGACAAAATAAGAAAAATTATTCAGTTAAATACAGACACACAAATATACAGCAATAACTTAAGAGTTTTTAAAAGGTACCTAGTAATAATCATTGCAGTAAATATACTACTGCTGCATCGCAACAATGCACTACATTTCATGATACAAGGAAGCAGGTAGTGATGGTGCCCTCATATAGCTATGGTGTCACAACAAAACTGTAACAAACCCACCTTCCCTAGGTCTAGAATCTTTGAAATAGATAATAAATGATGAGTGCAGTTAGTTAAATAGTTAATAAATGATGCTCTAAATGTTATTTATTTTAAAAAGGGCAAGCTCCTTTGTCAAGCACTTTAAATACCTTCTGGCTGAACATCTTACAAGTGCAGAATGTAAGTGGTATCCGGGAGGTCAGACTAGATGACCATAATGGTCCCTTCTGACCTTTAAGTCTATGAGACTTGAAAAATATAGCAGACACCTTCTAGCCAGGATAAAAAGACTCTTACTCCTCTAAGCCCTACACATAAAGTGACTACAATATACTCTCTCTTTTTCTTCCCTAGGATAGATCATACTGTGTTTCTTCTTTTTCTTCTCTTTTCCTACACCCATTAGCCCTCTTTTCCTGCTTTGTATTCTTAGCCTCCTTCTCTGTACTTTGGCTACATCTACACTATAAGCTAGGGATGTGATTTCCTTGCTCACATACACACGCTGACGCTAGCTCTCATCAAGCTAGCTTGACTATGAACAGAGACACAGCTGAAGTGTGCCAAGTTTAAACCCACCTAAAATGGGTGAGTATGTACTCAGCACGGCTCAGCCGTGTCTCCGCTGCTGCTACCTGTGCTACTGAGGTTACACTGCTATTTATCCTTGCGCTAACTTGGTGAGAGCTAGCACGAGTATGTGTACATGAGCAGGGGAATCACATCCCTAGCTTGTAGCATAGAGATAGCCTGTGTCTCTATTCCCCACCCTCACTTCCCCCCTGTTCTGTACTATACTTTTCTAATTACCCCATCTGCCTTTTCCACCCAACCCTATGCATCTCCACACAACTCACCCCTATACCCTCATTTATAGGAACTGGATATTTTACCAGAAGGGCAAAATTAGCGACAGATAGATATGAAACATAGGAGGAAACAACAGAGCAATGTCCAAGAGCATTGCCAGGTCAGAAGCCAACCCACTCCTGGGGAGTTGATTCCTATCTCAGTGTGTCCCTGGACCTTACTTCCAGAGCCTCATTTTTCCAAGTGCCAATTTTCCTCATTTTACAGGTGAAGTGAGTGACACAGGGTCACACTGCAAGCAGTATGAGATCTGGGAAAAAGACCCAGAATGCCTGACTCCTACTTCCCACCCACCCCCTCTCTCTAACCATTAGGTCATAAACAATATTCAAGTTTACGGAAATGTAACAATGGAGAGTTCCAGATAGGTAAAAACCATTATGATTGCTTTTGAATACAGTTATTCACTTCCCCAGATTAATTGTCCTTCTGTAAATTATAAACTTCATTGTTACAATCGATTTAAAACTGATACCTTAAAAGATTCCACCATAAACTGAGAATCAACAAGAAAAACTCCACAGACACGGAATTCCCACTGCTGCAGCTGCTCCACCAGGTGTTTCATCACTGGCAAATGAGTATAGAGTTCAATCTGACCTAGGATACATACATAATTAAGATGCAGGAATGTAAAACTAATGCAGAGACAGTGCCAGCATGCTAGTTCATAATCAAATATCATTATAACAGATAGGCATGGGATATTGCTATTAAAATTAGTGAAATCTAGCACAGAATGGGTGATCTTTCTTTTTAGATAATTCTACTTGCTCTTGGATAGATTTATACAAAAATAATAAGTGACTTTTTGGCACTGAACCGTACAAAAAGATTTTATCTGCAAATTATCACTACAAGCAAAAAACATCTAAGAGTTACACATCAGATAAGAAAAAATTAGGACACCAGAGTACAGAAGTTTGTTTACCTGGGCAATCAAAGAGTATATAGTCATCCTCCACATGTCCAAGAGAATCCTCAAGCCAGTCAAAGTTTTTGGCAAAGTATTCCATGCAGAATACTAAACCACCATTGGGACCAAACCTTAAGGAGTCATCTTCCATAACATCATCCACTTCAATTAATTCTCGAATGTCTAGAATAAAAGATGTTGTGTGTGTTTGTTTTTTCAACACTGGGTACATAAATTCCAGAGGTAAATTCCTACAACAAATTTAATTCTCAAAACGAACACAACCAATTAAATTTGTTTCGGGTGCTATACCAGCTCCCCCATCCCCACAAGCCTTTTGCCAATTTTTGTGATTTTACAGTCACAAATTCCTATTTTTTTTAAAAGCATTTTTCTTTTCCCCTTTGCCATGTGAAAAAAAACCTCAAACAAACAATAAGATGCACTCACTGAATATACAGGGGAAACAATGAAGCTGACTATTTCTAAGAAGTTTGTTAAATAGTGCTGCAGATTCAGGAAGAGTATTTTTGTAGGTCCTACTAATACTGCCTCCAAATGCCTAAAATATATATGTATTGCTCCTTGACTTAGGTTTTAAAAAAATAAAAAAAATCAGATTTAGAATCTGGAGAGTGCTGTCAATCAAACCAGAACAGCTTGGATATCCAGACAGGTTAAATTTAGGTAACTAAATTTGGAAGTGTCTTATTAAAAGGTAAGAAAACTCAATGTTCAAGACAGATTCATCCTGAGTAAGAATTGTTATATTCTTTACCTGTTTTCAGCAGTTCTGAGAGTACAGGAAATTAAGAAAGAGTGATCCCAAGCACAACTCACCAGCCATCAGAGGATAATTGAAGTATTCTGCTGCAGGGTCTAGGTTAACAACTTGCACAGAGCGGTTTATGGCTGCACAATGCTGGACCATAGTGGAACAGTAAGTGCTCTGCAATTTAAATAGAAACCTTAGTACACAGCTGAAAGTACCTAAAAGGTGTTGCAATTTTACAGCTGAAAGGAGAGGCAACCGTCTAACAGTCAAAGCAAGGGGCTGGGAATCAGAAGAACTCCCAGGTTCCATTCCTAACTCTGCCTGACTTGCTGCATATGTTGGAAAGTTACTTCCCCTCTATGCCTCAGTCTTCCTGACTGTGAAATGGGGATAACACCACCTCTGTACAGGACCTTCCAATCCTCAAATGAAAGGAGTGATGCAAGTGCAATGCAAAGGGTTATTTGTAGGTTACTTAAAAGGACTAGTTTCTCTGAAGAGTCACCACCTCTTTACATCATTTCAAATTGCAACAATCTCCAACAATGGCACATGGCAACTTCCACGGAATAGCTTTTAGGCTGGGGCTGCAGCTACCTGCGCCCATAGACCCTCATAACCCCTCCAGTTACCCTATGCACCCCAATACCCCCATAACCCCAATTACTCCCATACCCCTCAGTCACTCCAATCTCCTGTTGCCCCTAATTACCCCAATGCCCCTCAATTACCCCCATTACCCAAACCCCGTTACCCCCAATTACCCCGACTACCCGTAACCCCCACACTCCCCAGTTACACCCCCAAATACCCCACCAGTATAAGGCAGGGAGGGGCCGGTCTCACCTTCCCACTGCCCGCCGGGCCCATGACCAGCTGAGCGAAGCGAGGCATGGCTGCCTGCTCCGTTCCCCCAACCCAGCGCAACACAGAGACAGCGACCGAGCGGCAGGAACTGACTCCTCCGCGATCCCGTAGCGTGGCGGACACACTCTATACACACACACGCAGTTCCTCGGATACGGAGACTCGCAGGGCTCAAGCTTCCTGTAGGGGCTGAATCGCGCTGCTCAGCCCAGGTCGCCCCTGCTGAACGGATACCTTTGCTGGCAGAGCGGGGTAGTTTGGTGAAATAGACAAGGTCCTTACGGCTGTTGGCAGAGCCAGCCTTAGCTTCTGGGAGCTCCTGGGTCCCCGGCCTGTGCTCAGCCCAGTGGGTCACAGGTTTGTTCAGCAAATGCCAGTGTAAACTGACTGCACAGCACTGTGTGCGAGACTGTACATCCCCTGACGGGGAGTCATTGAACACCTAGAGCCAAGGGCCGCCCCCGTGGGATAGAGACCAGGGGATTTCGCCAGGTTCCTCCTATCAGTACATCACTAAGTGGTGCCAGTAACTGTGTTATATTAGCGGGGGGATTTGAATGTAGAGAATGGGCCAAATCCCATGGGCTGAGTCTCATTGGCTTCAGCGGGACTGCTCATGCGAGTTAGGCGAGCAGGATTTGGCTCAGTGTTTTGCCTTGCTCTGATGAGTTTCTGATACATCCTTTGGACAGCTCTCCATACATGTCTTATATATACAGACTTGGGACCCAATCCCACAAGCTTTTACTCATCTAAGTAGTTTGTACAATGAGGCAATTTGCCTGAATAAGGAATATTCATGTGAGTAAAGATTTATAAGATCAGCCCCCCTAAAATAGACACCTTGATTAGGAAGATCCTTATAACCTCCTTTGTTCCCATTGACAATTCTGCTGGGAGCTGGGTCTGCCATCTACCACCCTCCGTTTAGCTCACATGGGCACTCGCAATCTAGTACCCTCAAGTGTTCTTATCTCAAAGAGTCTGCTGCATGGATTATACGGAGATCAGTCTTTCTTGCTGGGGACCCTGAGCATATTTAAAGAAGATTAAAAAGAAGTTTGCTTTCACTGAAGCTGTAGCCTCCAGTGCATCCAAGTGCAGCTTGCACGAGCACAGCAACCAGGTGAAGTTGCCATAAGATGCTGTAGTACAGGAGGTGAGGGACCTGAGCTGCTTTGCATTTCTTGCATAGGAAGATGGTATGCTTCTGCAAAACAAAAACATAGAACAGGATTGCATATTTATCAAGAGAATTTGTTGATCTTCCAAAAAGAAATTATTTCTCTTTTAATGGAGATGTCAGTGGACCACATACAAAAATCTAATTATTTATTCAGTTTACATGTTAGTATGTCTGTTGTAATAACGCATTTTAAGCAATAATCACGAATTGCTTATGCCTGTAATTGTTTAGAGAAAGGGTATCTGTTATTTCTCAAAATTCCTGTAACTGACTGAATAGCCCTCATGGTATTGGGTTTTACATGAGAGCTGCAGCATCGTACATGAAAATTTAAAAAATAAATATTGTAATAAACTGCGTAATGTGGATGTATATCCTTTGCCAGATAGAACTGGAATTGCTCAATTGTGTGTCATAGGCCCTATATTACTCATAGCTAATGGAGATCCTGTCTTTAGCTTCATCTGCAAGGTCTTTTGCTTTTGGAGCAGCGGAATCTGGGTTCTATCCCTGCTGCTGCCAAGAAGTTCCAAATGGCCATAGTGTGCAGCATATTCACAGTTTTGGTGGCAAAGTATTTGTAACAATAGTTCATAATCAAAATTAATTAACAATATTTGGTACAAGAATTTAGAAGTTAGAAAGTGAGAGATTGTAACTGTTTTATTGAAATACAAATGGGGAAAAAAACAACCTTCAGTCCCACCAAGACTCTTTAACTTCTTTTAACTTTCTAAGCCCCAAATGAGGGAGTTGGCCCCTAGCTCAATGAGTAAACTGTGTATCTGAACCATATTATATGTGTTTGATTTATGGACCAATCCTGAAAGCCCACTGCACTAGGAACTCCCACTGAAGTCAATGGGACTTCCTGACATAGATAGCTTGGAGGATCAGCCCCTCAGCTTATAAGCTCTATGGAGCAGGGATCATATTTTTCTCTTGGTACAATTATTATACTTTGAGGACCAGATCCTCAGCTGGTGTTAATCAGAGTTGCTCAATTGCAGTCTATAGAACTACATGGATTTACACCTGCTTACATCTGGCCCTACATGTTTATTGTACCAGGCTCATTTTCACATCTAGTGGGCAGAAGTTTCACGGTCATCAAGAATGCTATGGCTGTGACTCCTGAGGGCGTTTCTGAACTTTGGGCGAATCAGGCAAATGGAAATGGGGAAAGTAGAAAACAGCAAGCACCACAGTCAATGTGACTTTTATATCTGTTCTACCTTTTATATTCTTATCAAACTACCAGGAATTAAAATGCTGTTATTTATGTTTCTATTTCTAACATCAGCTGGGTATACTGTTACAAGGTACTGAAGTGTACTGATAAGTGCTACACATTGAACAGATGATCAGCATCATTAAGGGTCAGATTGTGAAC